CCCGGTCTTTCCCGCCTGGTCCGGCCGGCGCCAGGGAGTTGTGGCAGGGCGGAGCGGGTCGCATTCCGGCACGGCCGTCCCGGGGCCGCCGCCGTGTGCGCGTCTGTCTCTAAATACATAGATGTATATCAGAGAAAAGAAAGAACTCCTTTTTTTTTTTTTTTAATGTGAAAAGAAGGTTATTGTTTAAACCACTTTATGGGTAAGACAGGTTTAAGGACAAACACGTTCCCAGCTCTGTTTAACTTTATTTTTACATACAGCATATGCCAATCATTTCATATCCCAGCGGTGCCTGAACAGGCTTGACAGGCATCGAGGGTCGCTTCTGAGCGTGTTTACGTGATGAAGAATCTGCTGCCTTCAGAAACGGCGATGAAGAGCTGAACTGGCTGCGCTGTGGACTTTGGCACTACCGTCCTCAGAGCAGGCTGGGACAAAGTCAAAACTTTGCTGACTAACGCGTGCTTCACATAAAATCCAAATCTGAGTGTGAAAGCACCCTCTGACTAGAGGGGAATAATTCTGGCGTTTAAGAAGGGGCGTTAGTTGTAGCTGTATTCTGTTTGAGGCATCCCCATGACAGAGGCAGTGTATTTGCAGATAGATCTGATAACACTGTACTTGATTTGCCGGTCCCAATTTTTTTTTTTTTTCCCCACAGTAATAGATACTGTAGAACAACAGCCTTCCAGTGGCATGTGTCTGTGTATAATTCTATGAGAAAGAAGGTGGGGTGAAAAGTATCCTTGTTTGGCTGAATAGGTGGAAAGTCACAGTCTGTATTTAAAAGTTTTTCCAAGATAGGTCCATCAGAAGGATGAGTGGAAAATTGTGGTCGTAAGAAACATATTTGTGCTAGGAGAAAAACCTAAAACAGGGTGCCATTCTGCAAAAGTAAATGTTTTACCTTTTTTTTTTATGTTTTTCTTCTGGAAAACGGATGTACACACTTACCAAACTCACCCATTGACCTAAAGTGTTTTTTCACAATAAGACTTGGCTGGTACAGGTGCACTGACAAACTCTAATAGAGGCACGGATTTAGGTGGCAGTGACATATGCTCACCTAGGGCACAACCACACAACTGGCAGTTTAAGATGTCTCTGTGCCCTCAGACTTCTGTTTCTGCCTTTGTAGCAGAAGTGTCTGCTGCAGTAGCAGCAGCTCTGTAGGATTCAGTCACTGATGTGCAGACTCTGTTGCTTTAGGCAGTTACTGAATCAGTGCCTGATGTTCTATCAGGGAAGCACACGTGTGCGTCCATGTTCTGTTCTGCCACCAGGTCTTGGGAGCAGTAACCTCTGGCAGAAGGCCAATGACAAACAATTGTTGGAGCACAGTTTGTGGATAAATGGACCTCTGTCAGAGACCCTAGATAAAATAAGCAGGCACCTTGTTCAATAGCAATAAGAATGATTGTGGCAGGTCGGACTGAAGGCTCCTGTAGTCTGGTGTGCCATCTCTGACGGACTTTTTAACATCTATAACATTTGGTTAAAGCCATATCACAATACCATTTGGTAAAACTTAGTACTACTAAGCTCTTTTTAGCCATGTGTATCTTAGGTCATTTTAAAAAGTGACCCAGTTGTTGATTGTATTTCTAGTAGATTAAGGGCTTTAGCATCTTCAGACATAGATGCGGTGGTAAAAATGTCAGAGATTCTTTTTTGTATTTTATTTTTGTATTTTTGTATTCTTTTTGCCTTGTTTTCACCATTGCCTTGTTTTTGCTCCTTTCTGCAGAGTTCCCCTCTTTAGCAATGGGAAAACAAAACAAACAACAAATGACCCCAGAGCTCTCCTACATTTTGGTAATGTGATTATCACTGGGCTTCTTATGCAAAGTGTTGTAGCAAGGGTGCCAGAGACACCCTTGCGTCTGGTTTTCTGGAAGCAAGTCTGAGTTTGGCCTTCTCACCTTTTTAAAAGCTTCTTTTTGATTTTCAGCTTCTTATCAGAACCCAAATAATCATGTAACTGATTTGAAGTATTTTGGTTCTTGTAAATCCTTCTAGTTAGTTAATCCTTGAACTTGCATTTAATACTTTTCTGAAGGAGTTGGGAGGGTAACCAGTGGCTCGTAGTGGCAGCAGTTGCAGCTGGTTATAAACTTTTTGCTCCATCTGGTAATACTAATCTAATGAAGGCTGATAGAATCTTGGACGAGGATATTATTGTCCACATTCTTTGAATTCTTTGTTTATTATTTCTTCTGCTAATTTTAGAATAAACTAAGATAAATAACAGCGGACTGTATTATGTAATTCCAGCAGATAGTGGAAACAATATAAATTTAATAGTCTATGTTGTCATTGGAGGTCTAAATGGGAGAAATAACTCAAGAATCCTTATGCTTTATTTGTTGCAGTACATAGGTCAAATTCATAATCAATGTCCTATAAGCCTATCTCCTTTTGACTGGTACTCCGTTAATCCCTTTTCCCCTTCTTGCTTCCTGTTTTCTCAGTGTTTCTAGGCTGCCTCTCTCATCTCTTCAAGTTTTCATGAAAACAAAACTCTTCTTTTAAACTGTAGGGAGACTGACATGATTAGGGTATTTTAAAGTTGCTTGCTAAATATGAGTTTTTAAACTGGTCTTCGACCCTCATCATGTAGAATAATTTAATTAGAATATTAAGTTTTGGGCGTTTGTCGTCATATGTTATTCCTCTTGCTGTAAAAATCCATGGAACTTCGATTGACCCTATAGTCAATTCTGTCTTTTATGTCCCAGACATGGTAACTGTGTGTGCTTAAGAGAAGATAGCTTCTGATTCAAATAAAAAGCCTTGTTAAAATTAAGTTATTGTTTAATATTACAAACATTTAATATGACAAAATGTGGCAGAAGAGATGACTGAACTTTGGTAGACTGATGCCACTTAACAGTATACTAACGTACCGTTTCTACGAAATGTGCGAGGAAGACACTGTAGCTTCCTTTTAGCACAATTTATTTATAACATTTATTTGGGAAAATCTTTGGCTGCATGCATGAAGAAAATCCTGAGTGCTAGTGAGTAAATGAAAAACTTGAGTATTTTGATTTCATCAGCAAAAGGAGTTCAGCTATGTATCTGTTTGTGCAGATTACTGAGTAGCTGCATTTCCATAGTTCTAGACCAAGAATACTGTCGGGTTTGTTTAATCTGAATGCATTTTGGTTTTGTATTATGAGGTGGCCCTAACATACTACCACTGACTTAACAGAGTAAGTTTAGCTCAGCTAAGCTTTTCTGAAGTCCATTTATATACAGTAGCTGTCCTGATTGTTATTGTTCTTCATGCAGGGCAAGGTGGTTGTTGCGTTATTTACAGTCAGTTGATAAAATGGTCCTAAAAAACATCATCTAGATCTGGCCATAGATGGAGCCTTCGGCTCTTTTTGTTACATGGATCTTTGCTTGGTTGATGGCCAAATTTTATTTCTGCTAATATTCCACTACTATGCTGAACAAACAATATTTTTCAAAGTTACTAGGAAGTACAGACTATTTTTGTATTACTTGCCTCGAGCTAACTTTATGGATCATCTCTGTGCTATGGGTGCCAGCGGATGCTACACTATGATACGTGGCTATGCAGAAAAGTTCAAGTTCTGACTCCATAGTTCAGTGACATGAACGATATTATCTTCATCCAAGGGATATTCAAAACTTGTAAGTTCTTTACCAGAGATTCAGCTTCAGGTATTCCTCATAAGTTTGACCACCTCTATTGAAGTTAGACTTTCTGATAAATTGTGCTTGACTAGCTGGGCCTGTTTAGTGAAGTCCTTGACCTTGTCCACGTGCCTTTAAAGGTGATGTCTCATGACTTTGAACACCGCAGTTGAGTTCTTACATAAAGCGTTTCTCTAGTATTGCGTATCCTAGTTTAAGAGGTTCCTGGTATAAATATTCCCTCCCACTTCTCCCGTACAATGCTCTTTAAAATCACATGCATAGGCAGAGAGGTTCTTGAAAAGTGACGTTAGAAGAGGCAGATCCATAAAAGCAAACCCCTCCAAC